AGGCCTGTATAGCCAGAAACCTTTCGTTGAATATTCTCCATCACAGGCAAGTGTTGAACAGTTTATGCATCCCTACCTAATTGGCATGTAAATCTCAAGGAGTAATTAGTAGTATTGTATTTATTATGCAGATCAGAAAACTCAGGCTTAGTAAGATAAGGTGATATGCCCAAGTCACAATATTGATCTTTGGTTAACCTGGGGTTGGAGGCCAGCCAATGTGACTTCATATCCCACTGCCTTAACCATGACAGTAGCAAGCCCAGGTGGGATGCATTTACTTCCTTTACACATTCTGCTTTTGTAGTATATGTTTTCATGTCAAAAAGACACTGCAAAGGATATACCTCAACTGGACCATCTCACATTAGTGGTCTACTTGCTTGGAAGGCCAGATAGAATGCAAACTGTGGTTTGAACTTTCTAAAGTCATTTGGAAGAAACATCAGGAACCAACTGTATTTTCTGGAAGCTGAATAATGAGATATCCGCTCACTTCTCATTACTTTGAGAAGATTTTGATGCTTACTAATCCAGCTAGTTCAGTCTGTCTAGTTCCAGCTGTTTCCTTGATGTTAAAGTTAGTATCTTGTTGACCATAATTCTAGCTTAGAAGAATAAAGCCACTTTGCTTCTCAGATTCAGAGAAATCTGAGCTAACTACACAGATTCTGCACCAGAGCACTGGAAACTCTTTAAGTCAAAATTGTGACATGACATGCTAAAGTTTGATATTAGAAAGATGTCTTGCTCTTATCTGATAAATTCATGTCCCTCTTGACTGCATGAGTAAATAGTGTGACAAATTCAGTCAACACCAATTTAGCCACACAGACAAATAGCAAAAAGTTTCGCTCTTTTACTCTGAGTCCCATCTCTACATTTTTCAGAAATTTTGCCATGTGTTGGTGCTTCCTCATTAAGAATGCTGTTCATGAAAACAAGTGAGTTTTGTTGACATTGCAAGTTTTCTCTTCCCTGAGTGTTCAGTGGGAGACAGTGTAAGGAATGCAAACCGCAAATGTGTGGGGCTTGTGTTAGCACAATGGAGGCTCAGGCAAACAAACAGATGCACGCGGAACTCAAGTGTGGACACGTGGCAACACGCCACTCGTGCTCGAGGGATGACTGACCACATGTGCCTCACTGGAACGCAGGTCCTCCTGTATTCTCACAGTAGTGACAATGACATGGAGCAGCTGTGAGCAAGCACGCACTCTAGAGCCATCTGCTCCTGCGGTCTACACTTCCACACTTGCTGGCTGGCGACTGGGTTTGGATTAGGTGTTGTCCCTTCTTGTGCCCCAGCAATCACAAAGGAGACCAATGTACAAGAGTGGCTTTCTCCTAAACACGTGACTGCAAAGGGATATCAGGGGAAACATGCCAATAAAAATCACCAGTAATGGTTAAATTAATGCAAAGTACCCATTCTTTCTTTTTTTTTTTTCTTTTGATATTCTCCTGGTTGAACCCAGGGCCTCTCATGCTAACCACTCTACTACTAAGCTACACCTTTATCCCCAGCCCTTTCTTTAATTCTGTTTTGAGATGGGGTCCTGCTAAGTTTCCCAAGACTGCTCTTGAACTCAAAATCCTTCTGCCTCAGTCTTTTGAGTAGCTGGGACTACAGGCATGAACCACTACACTCAGTAGGTAATACATTTTAAATCCTCAAGGAGCTTCAGTGATAGGCAAGTCATAGGGAAGGTAGCATATCCTTGTCCCAGAAGAGAAAACAGTGTCCGGAAGAGGAAATGACTTATGTTGGATCAACACCTTGGAGGTTTTGGAGTTTCTCACACCTAGGATTTCTAACCTAAGACCTTTTATGGCTGGCCCACTTAACGCCTTCCTTCGTTCATTCGTTCACCACTTCTTACACATCTAGTTTATGCCAAGCACTGGAAATTCATCCAGGAGACTGAATTCCTGCCTTGCAGGGGCACACATCCTCATGGAGGAAGTACACAGGTAAATAAAGGTCATCCCATAAACCAGTGGTCTCTAGGTCAGTTTTATTTAGCTGACATGTTGTTTTTTAATTCTTGAACTATTTTGAAAATAACATCTGACTTAAACACAGCTGTCTGAGTTCTCTTGGTGAATTGGACGACCTGGGAACATTGTTCTTAGGTTCCCTTTTGACACCGTTGGGCTAGACAGAGCTGACCCTGTGGCCCCTTTTGCCAACCATCCTGTGTGTAATCTTACTACCATCCCTGGCCTCCTTGCTCTTGGGGATGGTCGAATTTGTGCTCCCCTGGGATGCAGTGGTGATAAAGAGAAACAGTGTGCTCTGCAAAGAACTTGACTGGGTCAGGGTACAGTGAAAAGGAGTGGGAGCAGGGAGGACTTAGAGGAGAGGATATTTGTGCTGTGGTATTTTTTTACAGAACAAAGAAAAGGACAAATACTCTCTCCTCAAACCATCCTCCCTCCATGCAAAGCAAAGGCCACTTTTATGGCCTTACACAGGCTGTTCTCCAGGGGGTTCTACATCCCAAGTTGCTCAGTGTCCCCTTGTGCTAAGGAGGAGAATCAAAAGATAGATCCATATGAGAGTATTCTTAAGTCTAGAAAAACCCGAACTTCTAAGTCATCATTTTTGGTGGCTTTGCGGGATCACCTTTATCCTTTCTTCAGACATCTTTCACTAGACCAACGGTGTTTCAGGCATTTTAAATTTTCTTGTAAAACTGGTGACTGCCCATGTAACTCATCTCTTTCTGAAACTTGTATCTGTGGCCATGTTTCCAAAACTGTCTTTTTTTTTAATCATTAGGAATAATATTAACACACAGCCTCTCAAAACCTGACAATGTGTCAACCCAGTGGGGAGAACTAAAGCACATTTTGTGATGCCAAAATATGGCTTGTTTCTGAGAGTTTGAGTTTATGACATTGTGGTGTTAAAGTGTCTTGCTTTGCAATTCTACAAGGAATGGGGATAGAGAGGGTTGGGAGCCTTTTCAGGCTGCCAGCTGTTGTGGGAGGTGGGTACTTTTTTTTCCTTCTTCTTCTCCATCCCACTGTTCAGGGAAATCTAAGTCATGTGGCAGCAACGATCCCAGGCAACTTATTTATTTATTTATTTATTTTGCTCAATAACTGTTTCCCAAATGGCTACTGGGGCCTTTCAGAATTCAGGAGAGCTGTCAGTTGTTATAGTAACCGGCCCCCTGCTGTTGAGCTGGCTCTGAGATACCAGTCGAAGCTCTTGGAACAGCCTAACACACAGTCATTAGACAAAAGCAGGGATGGGATGCACAGCTAAAGGTTGCCATTTACACGTGCTCCACGGTCCTTAAAAGTCAGGACCAATTCTGCTTGCAAGTAGTGGATGGATGCATCTTTGAACCAACCTCACTTTTCAGGAAAGAGAAACTTGCTATGTCTCCAGACTATTCTTGGTCACCCCCTTTCTTTGACATTTCTCGGGATGCAGTGTCTTCTATCCCAGGGTTGATGGTAAGGTGACTGAGCTCAGGTCACCCCTTGATCGCTGAGATATTAGTTATTGATCGTATGGCATTTGCTTCTCAGCAAAGTGTTGTCAGTTTACGGGTGGTAGTTTGAAGCGCCTGTGATTGTGTGTGAGGAGAAACTGTAGAGATAGCCGGCTCTGCTCCAAAATTCCCGAAAGAGTAAATCTGGCAGAATTCAGAGTAGGGCTAAGGGTTGAGAAAAAGTCTAAATATTTTAGGAAGCTGCAAATTTCAAGTTTTTATGAAAATTGCTAGAAACATTCCAACACACTCGTGATTTCTTCAGATTAATGTTCGTAGCCACACAGCATATTCGTGATGTTGGGAGGGCAGTCGGTGTAGTTCCAGAATGTTCTCAATAGAGGGAGACAGGAAGTTCTGAATTACAGCCATCCCTCCTTCCCCTCTCCCTCCCCCGACACCCCTTTCAGTCATCTTCCCAAGTTTGGGCTTTTCTAAATTTTGGTTCTTGTGCCAAGCACTTTTTACCCAATATGGCAGTCTAATAATTATCAAAATAAATGAAAGCTTTATGAAGGGGGGTTAAAAAAAAAAAACCTAACAGGAATTTGAGGATGCTCATTCCTAGAAGGAAAAAAAATGGAGTGACTCAAAAGTGGGACTACCTATGTGACTTCACATTACTGTGCAGTATTCAACAGAGCTTCCCCAAAACAAAACAAACAAACAAAAAACCCCATATATTAGGAGTTTGTCTTTGCTGTTAGCAACAGAGTTTGTAGCACAATAGTAATTGTTTCACTGTGCAATCCTATAGCCAGGTTTAGGGGACAAAATATGATTAAATTGATACTTTCGATTGTTTGTGTGTGACAAAATTACATCTTTTAGGTCTATAGCCATGTCTCAGATGCTACGGTTATTTAAATTTTAAAGGGAAAGTAAATGTAGAACTTCATATATAGTAAAAACTTAGCACTTATTATCCCAGCTCCCCTGAGGTGCTTCTGCTGTGTATTCCACAGTCTGTATTGTGAATCAGGACAGTTTCCAGAGGTGACAAGAATTTGTGGGGAATAGACAAAACCCAAGATTTGTCCAATGGTAACAAATTCAGAGCCATTTGTGGCAGATAAAGGCCCAGATGTTAGATACTAGCCTAGTAGAACCTGCCAAGTTCTGTTTATGGCCATGGTATTTGAACCACTCTGTTTTCGAGGTCAGTATGTCAAGGTCAAAAAGCAGGTATCTCAATGAGAAGGTCATGATTGTTGGAACCCAGTCTCTGTCAACACCAGAATAATGCTGCCCCGTACTACACAAAGATGGCTTTGAAGAACAAAGTGCCTGTCTCTTACCTCAGCATCAGAGACCTTCCTAACAGCAGCCACCTTTGCATGTGGACGTCCTCTTTTGAAAATGCCCCAACCAAGGCCTGATGACAGGGATGTCTGTGTTCAAGGGGAGGGAAGGCATTTGTGTAGAACTCTAGGTGGCCAATTGAAAATACTGTCTTCTACACCTGTTCTCTTTTGTTTTCTGTCCATTTAGAGGGTGTAACAAAATAAAGTCCAAGGGCTTTCCCAGACGTTTCCGTGAAGTGCCTTCTTCTGGGGAGAGAGGAGAGAAAGGGAGCAGGTGAGGGGCGGTCAAGCTTAAGGGGGAAGTCTCGATGGCTGGGACTGCCTGCTGAATTTTTGTTTTGTTGCCATGGGGTTGAAAGTCTTGTAGACAGCAAATGCTGGTACTCAGCCAACTCCCAAAAGCAAGACTTGCAAATATCAATTCAGCTTGCGGGTAGCTGGTAGTAGTTACAGTGTGCCCTGCGTGTGCTTGCTTCGCTCTGTTTTGTGGGTTGGGGGTGGTGTTGTTTCTGGATTGATACTTAACTGGGGGTGCTCTCTGTTTGCGTGTTGCATCCATTTTCTTTTTAAAATTTCAGATGTTTGCATGTTTCAGAGCTTTTTTTAAAAAAATGCATGCATTTTGCCTTATAAGTGGAAAATATCTCTTAGAAACCTACATTTGTAGATCATTCAGGGATGAAGAGGAAGAATTAGGGAGAGAAACCATAAGAAAGGTGGACTTTAAAAAAAAAAAAGTAAAAGCATATGAGCTTTAAGTAGTTTGAATATTTGGGAAAATTATTGACCTGAAGAGATTTATAAGAAACAATTAGAAGTCATGACTGTACAGTCTTAATCACCACACTTGAGCCTCTTGATAATATTTATGTAAGGCTTGTTATAGGCAAACTGTGCTAATATTAATATTATATTCTTTTAGTATTAAGTAGATGGTAAGTAGTCAAGTTCAATGATCTTATGTCATTAGTAAAAACCTTTCTTACTTTCAATGAACCAACTGATAGAATTTACCTTTAAATCTTTACATGCAGTAACTTGTCTGTATTGCGAGTAAAACTGAGTATTGAGATGAAGTTTCAGTTACCTGTCCACTATAATCAGAGATACCTATGATATCTGAGACTGTTTAGTATAGGAGTTTTGACAGATTAATGAGAAAGTCCATGACCTAGGTATCTTCTAAGCTGCATGGTACCATTTTGGCTTTGTAAAAAATGTAATGATTGCTGACACTGGTAATATAGTTAGTCTTCAGTCTCTTTTTACTTACTGAAGCTTTCAATTTCTAACACATTTTAAAAATTCCAGTGGTTAAAAACTGAGTTAGAAATCCCTCTTTATAGCTTTGATTCAAAGGTCTCATCCTAAGGGTCACTTGAAGGGTCACTTGGACGTCACTTGAAGGCTTACGTTTTGTACTCATTCCATTAGAATGTGCTTTTGACTGTAATACCTGAAAGAACTAGCATTGCCTCATAGACATCACAAAAACAAATACACATTTGAGTTCTCAGGCTCGCAGAAATGATGCCATAACCTGATAAATGATCCCTCTTGGCCCCCAGTGTGGAAGTTGTTTATTTTTACAATCATACTCTAGATCATAAGAGAGGTGCCTTGTGACTGTATTTTGTTACAGAGCAATCAGGCCGTCTGGTATCTTCTCTACTTCTGAGTGAAGGAAGCATGAGTCATTTTCATCTAGGTGTAGATTGGAAACCATCTTCATGGGAAATTAGTATTTGTAGAACCTACCTGATTGGAAATCATATAGTTTAATGTATTTTGGGGTTTGTTTGGTTTTTTTTTTTTTTTTCACAGTGTAGTAACTTATAAAGAAAAAAAAATAAAAACAAACTGATTCAGAGATATGGGTTGTCACTACAACTCTACTATTGTCTGACATTATGACCAGGAAGCCCTGTGAGCCTCAATTTCCTATTCTAAAAATAGGTCTGTTGGCAGCTGGGTAGGGTGACACACATCTATAATCCCAGCATTCAGAAGGCTGAGACAGGAAGATTGTGAGTTTCAGGCCAGCCTGGACTACATAGTGAGATCCTGTCTTAAGAAAAAGTCTATCGAGAGCTCCTTTTCATAGGATTTGTGTGAAGAGGTACACATGTAAAATGCTTAGTGTGTGGGATTTGTTACCCAAAGGACAAGATGCAGCTGAGTGTCTGAGAAGGTAAGTTACTTGGCCAGGCAACCCTACTGAAGTGGCTGAGACCTTCACTTTAGCCATCTGAGTGCTGAGCAGTTCCCTTCTCTCCCTGCTCAGTGTCATGCTTGGTATTTCATGAAGGGAGACGTAAGCCAGCTAGAGATCCCGTCCTCAAGGGCTCAGAGTCTCAGCAATTCCCCACGATGGCCATTGTCTGCTCTAGTCCTCCAGAGCCTACCATTCCACATCTGCCCTTTGGGTTCCACCTCCACCAACCCCTACTTCCTCCCCAAGTGCTTCTGGTGCTGCCTCCTGACCCAGCTCCATGCTGCAGCTGCTCTGGAAACAGCCTTCTGGAGGGCAGCTGCCCCTACCTCTTCCAGGCTTCTGCCAGGGGCTGGAGTGGATCAGGGCAAGCCCGTACACCAGCCTCCCTGTCTGCCACTTTTGCCTCTTTCTGCCCCTCTCATCTCCCACCTTGGCCTGCATTTCCATCTGAAATGCGATCAGGGATCAGGAGATAAAACCCTCTTTAGGAGTGTTCTCTTTAGAAGAACCCTCCAAACAGTTACAAGAGCTGTCACAGAGTTCCAGCACACAAAGTGGATGTGTTAATATTTTGCCCCTTCTGTCCATGTTGCCCACTTTCACCCTCTCCTTGTTGGAGAGGTGACTGCCCCTGAGGTCTAGGGTGGAGAGAATTGCTAAAATCATAATAGTGGCTATAAAAGTGAACTCATTATTTCTCCAACTCAAGTACTAAAGTTTTCAAAATGGCTAATGGAAATGTCGAACATTTAATACAATGTGATATTTAATGCAATTCAAAATCAGGTTTAAAATGTCTATCCCAGCACCACCACCCACTCTGTTCCCTGCCTGCTCACAGTAGGGAGCCACCCTTGCTAGGTTATCCCATTCTTCCAGAAATAGTTACAGATATGAAAAAATAGGAGTCTCTACCCCTTTTTACACAGGAAAATACTGCATACACTCTCATTCACCTTGCTTCTGTTCACTTAGCACGATTTTTCTCCTTGCACATAATTTTACTATTTAACAAAAGCATGGTATATTTTTGTAGAGATGTGTCATGACTTATTTAAGCTAAGCCCTGTGGCTGTCAGTTGGGTTGTTCCCAATCTTTTGTTGTTACAGACAGTGCTGTAGTAAATAACTTTGTGTGCATGTCAGTTTGTAAGTGGGTAAGTACACATGTAGGATAAAGTCAAGAAATTGTCACATGGTCCATGTGTTGGAATTTTGGTAGGTGGTACCAACTTGCCTTCCATGGTGGGATACTGAGCTGGATTTTTATTAACATCATGAGCACCTGCCCATTTCCTACAGCCACTGTTGAGCATGTTGGCCTTTTTGGTACCCACATACTTAAAAAAAGAAATGATCTCTCAGTGCAGTTCCAACATGTTGCTGCCATTTGTCATATGTGAGGATGATACATTTGTTTTTCTTTTGTAAACCTTTTGCATATACCTTCTGTCCACTTTTTTTGTTAGTGTTTATTTCTAACCAAGAGAGAATGTGAGCTGCATTTTTTTTTTTGCAATTTGTAATTTGCTTTTTAACGATGCCTAGGTGTTTGTTTGACTTTTGTGCAATCTAACTTTCTATATTTTATATTTTTTAGATTTTGAGCTATAGTTAGAAAGTTTTTCCATTCTGAGTGTATGTTTTTAAAAGCACTTTTATGAGTTCAAATTTTAATAATAAACTCCTTAGCCACTGAGGATTTAACCTGGTCAATAGTGTAATGTCAGCATCAACTCTTTCTTTCTAGGTGGTCCCAAACATGTACCTAACTAGATCTTTAAACTATCACTCTTATAATGCAGTCAGCCAGTACGTCAACAAAATAAAAAAGTTGCCAAAGGTTTGTACCAATTCATTTTAGATAATAAATACTGAATAACAAGGAATAAAATAAGAATTTATGTCCTACCTCTTCCTCAAAATGAATCACATTAGACCATCTCACTGCCATAAACTGTCCCAAATCAGTGGGTGGGGCTTGTGTCAGTGCCCTTAAGATAGTGGCAGGTGAGGTGGCAAGTGTCCCTAGCCTCAGTCCCATTTGTTCAGAGCATTGCAGGCTAGGGTCCAAAGGTGAAGCATCTGCCTCAAAGCCTTCTAGGTATTAGCTGGGAGCCTGGGGAAGTATTGTGGAGGACTCATTTTTTTGGGGAGTCAACTGTAGTATCAAAAATGACAAGTTCAGGTTTTTGGTCTTGTCAGAAGCTTCTGCTATCCCATTTCCTGGAAAGGACTGCCAGCACCTCAGTCATTCTTAGGAATCTTAGTGTGAGGGTATATATTGCCTTGAGACCACTTTTGTGTTAGAATTTGTTAATTTCTCCCGCTTTCCTAAAGACATTAGCTGTAGGCAATCCAAGTCATCCAATGAAATTTTACTGCAGAAATCAGATTTTTTTTTGTCACTTTTGCCTGTCACAAGAGTGAATTGGGACATCTCCTACCCTGTGTGAACTCCAAACTATCTTGGAAAACTTTCTCCTCATCTAAATTTAATATTTTTATCCCCTACCATGCCCCATCCATCTTCCCAGTGGTAAGCTTTTTTCTCTGCCCTTCCTTCTTTGCTCTCTCCATGTATCTCATAAGCCCTATTTATGGAGGTGTGACAGCCATATGCCCCAGAATTTCCAGGACAGTGAAACGTACCATTGAGTTCTCCCCTGACACATTCACATTTGTTGGAGCTCATGTCCCCTTTTATGGTTTGGAAAATATGCCAACTCAAAGTGTATTTTGGTTTTTGAATTTTTCTTCGTAGACCATCTCTTCCTGGGAAGACACTAGCAGTGTAAACTTGGTTGTATAAGCTGAATCACTTAACATGCAGTAAAGGAAACTGAACAGCAAGTGAGTTGTTGTATATGAAAAAATCTCAACTTAGAACTAAGTTGGGCTCTTTTCCAAGGGGAACCCAGGAGGATCTTCAAACAGATACTTCTCTCTGAGGGAAAGCCTGACTACACTCACTGTCTTGCCCTTCTATTGTTGAATTTGTCCCTTTCATTTCTAGACACATTTTGCCCTAAAAATCAATCTATGTCTTTTTTCACATAGCTCTCAATCACCTTTCTTTGAAGTCATGTGAGCGTTTCCTATTTATAAGAGGCTCTTATTCATACAAGGTTCTCTACAACAGATCCATTTACAAAAGTAAACATTAATGCAATTTCTGTTCTTGACAGCATGAAACTAAATGGGATTATTAGTGGGTGTGCCACTGTAAATTTAAATGAGGGTAGTCTATAAATCAGTTCAGATTGCTTAATTAATATTCAGCAGCCGCTCGGCCAACTGCCCACTGTAGTCTGCAATTAGAATTTTGCACTGCACATTGCCAGCAAACTAGCAGTGATGTGATTATAAAACCATTGAGCTTAATTTGAAGATAGTGACTTGCTTTCTGATCTCTGTGTATCAACATTTGGTGAGTTTGTGATTCTGAGTTTTCATACAGGTTTGGGAGCCGTATTAGGATATCCTCCCTTCCCAACCCATGGCAGCTCATGACACTCACAGCATCATGGAGGACAGTGTTGTCACAATAAACCAAGGACCCAGGATAGGAGTGTGACATCTTGTCAAAAAGGATGGACATAATGACCCCAGTGTCTGTGGACTTCTAAGACCCCACTCCTCACAGCGGGTTTGGTTGCCTGCCATTGGAGGAGTCTTTCTGATAAAGACAGCAGTGTTGAGCACCATTGCAGACATTTCAAGATTCTAGACTATCACTTTCCCTCTGAAAAGCACTGGTCACCTAATCAGTCCCAGTTTCTTGTCAGACAGGCAAAAAGAGAAAGAAGTTAGAAAATGGTTAGCCCATATCAAAGGTTATTTAAACGGGTACCTGGAAAAACAGGCTGCAAAAATGTGGTCATTCTGGGTGTCCTGCCTTAACATGTCAGGTTCCCTGGAAGAAAATGGATGGGGGAGAGCACTGGAGATCTAGAGATTTTTCTGCCTGTCTTTGTAGTTGGCTCCAGTTTGTGTAAAGAGTAAGTCTCTCTAACTGGAATGTGTGTTAATACTTAGAAGGCACCATCAGAGCAGCTGTGTGCCTGTGTGCCTTTAGTTAAGAGCAACAGTTAGACACCTCAGAACCTGCCATGTGCCAGTGGGGAGCTCAGGGACTTGAAATTGACAGCTGATGTGGGTCAGTGTTTACTACACCTTGATTAGAGATGTGCTGTGCTTTCTCAAGAGCAGAATTTTTTATTATTGAAAAGATCTCTGAACTAAAGCAGATACCTTAAAAGCAACTGAGGCCAATAGGAAAAGGGGACCAGGAACTAGAGAAAAGGTGAGATCAAAAAGAATTAACCTAGAAG